ACCGTACAAACAAATAAGTTTTTACAAAATTTATATGAGCTAGATGGTTCATAATATAATTTTGTCCCGACGGGCTAGCACACCGGCATAGCAGCATGTACAACACCCCGCAATAGGAAGAAAACTCGCTGGATTGGTCATCCTGTCACTTGTACTCAGACACAGCTGGGACTTGCTTAGTGAACATTTGAGCCTCAAGAGATGTAAGAGCTAGTTTAAGAGTGCGGTTACGACCGTCATTACCAGGGTAGTGATAGGCCTAGAATGGTCTGGTGCTCAGAGTTGGCTGGAACGACGTTGTCGTCTGAAACATGTTTGAAGTCAATGTTGGTCTCTCGTTTCTTGAGGAACAGAAAGATTCTTAGGCTTCTCTAGCTCTTCCTCGCTAGCAACTGGTTATTCCCCAGGTTGCAACCTATATCAGTGGCCAAACTCCCGAGTATCTATTTACTGCTAGGTGAACAGTGGCATTAGGTGTAAGAATACGTTCCTGAATGTCTTGTCTGATCTCAGACTCGATCACAGAACACATTTCGTTGTGAGCCGAGTGCGACATTCAATGTTTTTTTGTCTTTATTAAATAATATGCAATATAAAGATCATATTTACATCAATTTACAAGGGAAAATGCTACATTTATATATATTTTATATATAGTTTTTAGTAAACAAATTTTCCATATCATCACCGAACATGAGCCGTAAACCCCAAATGTTATACTTGATCCTGCCTCTCAAGAACTTCAATATTCTGTCTACTGAGTAACCGTCCTGCCTGCCTATCCACATAGAAAAAAATGTAATCAGAAAGTAGCATAATTGTATTTTTAATTATCTTGCATTTTATGTCAATATGAAACATTAAAAACTCATTAAATCCACTCTAATGCTTGATCCACATAAAGCCTTAAGTGTGTCTCTAATCCAGTTTACAAGAGCAACTTTCTGCTTACAGAAATAAAATATATGCATATTCTCAATTTCAGTATATTGGTAAATTCGGTCAGTCTGTCTATCGGTCTATCGATCTGTACTCACCTAGTTGTGCTTAAGGGGGGTTGAGCTTTGTCTCTGTAGTCCCGCCTCTCGACTGTTAATCAACTGGTGTACAGATTCCCGAGCCTAGTTTTAAAGAGTGACGTCACAATTATGAGGGAATGAAACACAGGTGATGTGGCCAGTACAAGATGTGGCAAGGGCGCAGTGTTTGTGGGGTGACGTGGCAGCAACGGCAAGCGGCACTCATGGAGGACGTCTGTTGTTGTCTCATGTGTCTGTCTGTTTCACACGCTTTCTTTACTTCATCTTAGTCAGGCAAACTTGTTACTCTGCTTGTGTGTTTACTACCAGCAGGATCATTGTTGTTAGTGGTGGTGGACCCCATATCCATCCTTGTGAGTGGTGGTGGACCCCATACCCATCCTTGTGAGTGGTGGTGGACCCCATACCCATCCTTGTGAGAGGTGGTGGACCCCATACCCATCCTTGTGAGTGGTGGTGGACCCCATACCCATCCTTGTGAGAGGTGGTGGACCCCACCACCCCCTATATTTCTCATTTTCGGCTTATGACGACATAAAGTATGTGAATAGTTCTGCTTACAAAGTTTATATTTAGCCAAGTCCAAGTCAGCAGGTGGCGCAAAATCCCAGGTGGTGCTTGTAGTTGAGCCTAACTCTTAATTTAATAGTAGTAACGTTTAGAAATCTGATGGCCTTATTGGATGATCTATAGATATGCGGTTCTTCCTGACTAATAGAATGATAGATAAGAATGGTGTGATTTGATTTTTGCCGCCGGAGGCGAGTCGTTTATTGTGCATCCCATATTCATCCCGTGAGCGGTAGCGCAAAAAGGATTAGAGGGCATAAAAGGTCTTTATCAGACCTCAACGGAGTACTTTGCCAGGGTCGCTTGTTAACAGTTCAAGATACATGTGAAACAGATGAGGGTAATGCCGTGTTAACCAATAGAATTGGAAGGGTAAAATGAGAATAATTCAATGTTGAAATATTAAGTGAATGTGGTGGGCTCCAGGTCCACTACGAGGCTGAGGCTTTCAAAACCTCGTGACATAAACACTTACACCCATGTTTAGAGTTTCTCATTCATAGTGGTACACGATACGTTCATTTTTTGTGTGTAAGCAGTGATGGAGATGATCACTACAGTGTGGGTGCTGTGTTCTCAGGTTCATATGAAGGTGTATCTCGCCTCACTAAACACATAAAACTTTAAAATGTATGGATGGTATCGGATATGAAACAACAGCACTTCCCGCCGTTCAAGTACGTTTATTGAGACAATAAAATACACCTCAAAGGGATAGAGTAGAAAAGAGGGTAGAAATAGCCTAAACAGGCGCTTAGGCTATTTCTACCGTCTTTTCCGCTACCCTCCCCCCCCCACCCTTCCCAAAAGAAACTAATTACATATAAATCCTCATCTGGGACATGTTGCCAACCCAGGTGTTGATGAATCTTGTCAGGTTCTACATGTGATGCTATACAATGAGATTTGAACATTTGCTTAATGCAATTGAACCTGTGAAACCACCTGCTAATCCAAGCGGAAAAAACGAAGCTGCTTTATGAATCACAGATTCACCATAACACAGGGGCTCTTAATACTGATAACAATGAATGGTGAAATACTTGTCACGTGGAGCTCTGGATATGTGCAGCACGTGGAGCTCTGGTTGTGTGTATGTGTCTCAGGCAGAAACGGTGGCCTCTGGCTGGTGTGTTAGCACGTATTGCACCGACGGCGTTTTCCTCTTGCGCCGTCTACCCTATTCGTGCTCTGATTTTGACGCTTTGGTATATGCTGCTGTTACTTATTTTGCGGTCGGTGTTCGTTTGACGAGGGAGGCGAACATGATTGCCTTACCGAGGGGTTTATTTCTATTTATGGTTTACTGCCTATTTTACACTGTCTAATGGCTGTCAGGCGCTGGCTGCGCCGATTACCTGAACAACTTTCTTTTACCGAAGGGGAAAATGTGTGATGATTCAGAGGGGAAATATCTCCTGTTGTGTTCTCGTTTCCTGCCCGGCAGTTGAGAAATTCCAAGTGTTTCATAACCCTTAACCATTCACTGTATTCACCACACTGTAACTTGTAGGGTTTAAAATGTACAAAAAAAGGGATAAAGGATAAAGAACAGGAAATAAGATGACCAAACCACACATCAGAAGATCGAGAAACGACGACGTCTCGGTCCGTGCCGGACCATTATCAAGTCGTGTGAGAGACGGACTTTGCAGGGTGAATGGTCTAGGGTACAGGACGGACACAGGCTGGTTGGGGTTGGTTCTATTGGTCTATTAATAGATGGGTCGGGCATAATAGTGACCCACGCACCTAATTAGTGAAAGGTGGCTAGCAGAGTCAGAGTCTGTTGATTTCTTGGCATATAAATAAATGGAAAGATCTGTACCTAGGTTAGAGATCAGACCGGATAGAGGGGAATGTAAAGGGTAATAGAAAATGGGAAAAAGGGGAAGGTAGAGAGAGGGGGTGAGGAGGGGGGGGGGTGGATTAGGCAGATTGGAGAGAAGTGAAGGAAGGGGGAAGGTGTATGTTTTTTTCATTCTTTTATAAATTAGTTTTATCTAGTCTTTGAATCTCAATTTTTGTTCTCGCAAACACGGTATAGTCAATGACAGTGTATGAGTCCAATGTAGAGTGTATGAGCCCAGTATAGAGTGTATGAGAACCCTGTGTAGTGTATGAGAGCCCTGTGTAGAGTGTATGAGCCCTGTGTAGAGTGTATGAGAGCCCTGTGTATGACCCAGTGAACTGGCTGTGCTCTGGTAATAGCCTCTAAGCTGGACCACATGTGTGTGTGTGTGTGTGTGTGTGTGTGTGTGTGTGTGTGTGTGTGTGTGTGTGTGTGTGTGTGTGTGTGTGTGTGTGTGTGTGTGTGTGTGTGTGTGTGTGTGGGGGGTACGAATTGATTGAAGCAATTAAACCCGACTGATAGTACTCACAATGTTCCCACTCAAGGGATGAGTGCAATATGAACAAATTAATCAAAAGTATTATTACACATGAAATATTCCCAAAGATACTAAAATAACTACATAATATCTTCGTTTGCGCGTCTTAGCTTGATGTGGTAAAGGGGTTAAATATTTATATCTTTGCGTATTCGGGTTTGTTGACTAGTGAGCGAGTCGTAGATGCTCACAGATAATTAGTTCAGTCAGGTTGTTGGAATTTTCCAGCAGCCTAGTACATACAGCCTAGTAAATGTGTATCCAGCACACTGCACAGTAATTATATCAGATGTTTTAAGTCCGTACTCCCCGTGTCTACGTTTCTTCTTCGCTTTTAGAGATCATCAAGAAATAAAGTAATTTGAACATAAATTCGCTTCAATATTATCATTTGTAGGTGTGCTTGCACGTGTTTGCTCACCATGATGTGATGCGTGGCATTGTCAGCTGGTGGGTCTATGGGGAAGCTTATAGACGTAACCCGTCCTCTTGTAAACAGCGTCGCTTTTCGCACGTATGCGTTACATAAGGTCAAAAACTGTCGTACTAGAAACTGGAAGGGGTTTGCAAAAGTGACGTACTGTTCCATTTTCTGTTTGGGGTCCTCTGGTAGGTTAGGAGAGGACACTTTACATTGACCGTTTTCTTGACGTTGGGAAACCATAGGCGGACGGGTTGATTGACGGCACCAGGTGGTTGTCTAGTTGGGACAACAACAGTAACTTGTTACTGGCCGGAGGAAGTGCTGAGGCCAGCACTTATCTGCTGTACTCACACTTACGCCACAAGTCCGCGGCACCAGCACCTCCATGCATGTGCTTAATCATTTATCCTCATCTCAAATAAATGTGAACGATAACAATGGCTAGAAGAAATAGATCGAAATATTAAAAAAACTGTCCAATGGAGAGCGAGAAAGAGTGTGTAATGTTAACGCGTCGGTCAGTGAAGTACAAGAGTGGCCCGCCGGGCTGACCTCCCCAGCGGTACATGACGAAGAGTGTGGGAGCCTAGCTGCCTCTAGGTGCCACCCTCCCTCCATCTTGGGCACCACGCACTTGCTGGCTCGTGACTCTGGTGTCGCGGTCTCCGCTCATCACTGCACATGGATCCTTCACATGTATATCAGTGTCAGTGCTGTGTGGACGGTGGGGGTGATGGCTGCCAGCAGGCCACGGCAACACCCACACAGAGTGATATACTCCTCGGGTTAAAACTCCACACGGGATATTAATTCACCGAGGAGAGTGCCTGGTGCTAAAACATTTGATGTTTCCTGCAGGACCTGAGTCGTCATTTGCACGTCGTCGAGTCGTCCTCCACCTCCTCCTCGACTCTCGTCTTCCCTCACAAGGCCTTAGCTTCGGTGTTCACCGTGTAGAGTGTTCATTAGAAAAAACAAATTCATGCGTGGAGAGTGTGAGTGTCTAAGTGAGGTAGCAGAGAGAAAGCCTGATCCACCTCTGGCCCGGGTACCAGGTGTCTGTGAATTCTACCGTGTCAGTTCCCCAGCAAGCCGAGATTCATGTCTGCCTCTGCTGCTCTCCTGCACGTAAGTCAAGGAATGGGGGAAAAGGGATGTATGAGAGTGTTTTTTTAATGTTTTTCTCCTGCACGTAAGTCAAGTCCAGTTGTCCCGGAGTACGTCCAGTGGGACGTATGGGAGAGACAGGTCTAGTTCTTCCTGCCCAGCCTACTACCCTTGTTGGACTTGGGTATTTTTTTGTTATGTTTTTCTTGCTGATGTTCAAGTTCTTTACTGTTGCATGATGCTGACCTCAGGATCATTATTTCTCAGAATCATTATTTCCCCTAAGAAGAGTACAGTAAATATATAAATACATTAGCTCTAACGTGGCAATTACCCGTGACTTCTGTCGTTTTCCAGCAGAATAAAGTTACTGAAGAACGTATATTACAGCACTTATGACTCTTGCGAAAGCTTATATGTAATATCGCAGATAAATAAAATAATACTGATTATAAATTGTAACGTGATATTAACTTCGATCATTAAACTGCAATTTTAAGTTATCACCGAGTTTATAATTTATAATGACTGTAAACCAAGATGGTTTACGTTACCAATATACTGTTCAGGATAATAGAAGATGCATCACCTTCAGTATACCAGGGAACGTGTGAGATGATCACCAGGTACATGGAACCTGTATACCAGGGAAAACTTGAAGTTTGTTCAGGGATATTCCCGCGTGGGCTGTAGCCTGAGGCACAGGCCCATTGGCTGCTTCTAATTTAAATGTTTATGACTCGTGTTGCATTCAATAAGCTTATGACCAATATGCCTAAAAGGCTTCTTCTTCTGTACTCACCTAATTGTGCTTGCGGGGGATTGGCAATGCCTTGATCGTTGGTTCGCATCCACCTCATAGCCCAAGTGATTTTCTCATCTTTATTATTATTATTATTATTATTATTATTATTATTATTATTATTATTATTATTATTATTATTATTATTAGTTCTCACTGGAATTTTGTTTTCCGTATATAGGTAATTTCTGGTGCCATTTCTGTTGGGAATTATGCACAGGACACTGAGAGTGTTATTCCGTGCCTCTGTCCTGCTGCTACCTTGATGACTCCTTGGTCTTGTTTCCTGGCGAGGTCGGCAGCGGGGGAGGAGGAGGAGGGGTGTGAAGTGCTTGTATCAGCTACTGTTGTCACCGAGTTGACGGGCTGGTCACGCAAACACTCGCACACAATAGTTAAGCTCACACACGCACGAACGCACGCACGCACACACACACACACACACACACACACACACACACACACACACACACACACACACACACACACACACACACACACACACACACACGCACGCACGCACGCACGCATGCACACACGTGCTTCTTTGAGTTATGAGGAAAGGCTGCGGGAAATGCACCTCACGACACTGGAAGACAGAAGAGTAAGGGGGACATGATCACAACCTACAAAATCCTCAGGGGAATCGACCGGGTAAACAGGATGAACTTTTCAACACTGGTGGGACGCGAACAAGGGGACACAGGTGGAAGCTGAGTACCCAAATGAGCCACAGAGACGTTAGAAAGAACTTTTTCAGTGTCAGAGTAGTTAGCAAATGGAATGCATTAGGAAGTGATGTGGTGGAGGCTGACTCCATTCACAGTTTCAAATGTAGATATGATAGAGCCCAATAGGCTCAGGAATCTGTACACCAGTTGATTGACGGTTGAGAGGCGGGACCAAAGAGCCAGAGCTCAACCCCCGCAAGCACAATTAGGTGAGTACAATAGGTGAG